GGGAAAAAAAGTACACGGCGTCGGAGTCGACGTCGGGGGGGGAGGTCGACGTCGGGTCGGCACGAACGAAATGGGCACGGAAAGAATGGGTACAATGCCCAACAGCAGTTCCTGTTCATCTTGAACAGGACTCGCTGTCGGTGTCGCCTCGGCCTGTGTACATTTGAGGCAGAAGGCCGCCTGCTCAACAGCCGCCGCTGTTGGTTTGGGACAACATTTGTTGTTGGGCATTGTGCCCATTTTTTTCCGTACCCATGTCGGGCGTTCAAATCGGGGGAAAAAAGCACACGGCGTCGGAGTTCCCGGGAGGTCGAGCAGGACCCCTGCGCGGGCTGCGACGAGGGGCTGGCCTACAGCTACCAGGCCTGCGCGCGGGACCACGGCAACCCGTGCGCGGAGCGCAACGAGGCCGGCCTGGTCACGGGCGCGCAGGGCACGAAGAAGGACGTCTCCTGCTGCCTGACGAAGGATTGGTCGGGGCCAGGGCAAGGACAGCCGGAGTCCCAGAGTGCTCTGGAGCGCTCGCGCAGCGTCTTGGCATCGCTCGGACGTGCATTTTTCCTTCGGCGAGGACCATCGAGGAGCATCCCTGATGGTTTGGCGAAAAAGCCACGCACGGAACCGAAAAAAAAAACAGGGAATGGACATCCGAGCGATGGCCAGCAGAGTGCTCCTGGGAGCGCTCGCGCAGCGTGCAGGAGCGCTCTGGGCCCTGGGCCCGCCGCCGCGCCCGACACAGCCTCCAGGACCGGTGGATTGTCAGAGATCCCGGATGTGTATCCCGAGCCGAGCTCGCTCCTGTCGGGGGCGGCAAAGAGGGGGGTGATGACTAGGGGGGGGGATATCATGGCGGGGGCCATGATATTTCCCCAGATTTCATGGCGCCTCTTCTTGTTTCATTACGTCCCTGGCCCCCCCGCTGGGCCGCGCACATGCCGCCGATCATGATTTGCACCCCCCCCTCTTGGACACCCCCCTCCTGGCCGCTCCCGATCCTGTGCTGGCCTCGTCCTGTGCAGGAGAAGCACGACCGGTGCCTGGAGTGCAAGAGCATGGACCCCGGGCACATCGAAGAGCCACAGCCACAACCGAGTTTGAGTCGGGCGTGTCCTTCTACAGGAGGAACAGGCAAACATTGTCAAGCACAAACAGGCTGGGGACGATTTTTGAGTATTTGTTGACCATGTTTGACTATGCTCGATTACTTTTCAAACTTTTCGTCCAAAACCCGCCTGTAGGGAGACATGCCCGACATAAAACTGAATGGATTTTTCGGGAGGGCCCCTCGGGGAGGAACCCACCGACCTCGACATAAACACTTTGTGGTTGGGGTTGTGGTCGACTTTGCCGTCCTGGTACGCCACATCGACCACAGCCAGCACTAAGCCGTCGTCGGTGTTCCGAAGATTGTTAGCATGCATAGAACATCCCCCAGGGTGTGTCCTCGATGTGGTTGTGGTCGCTTGCTGTTCCCGCAGGACTGTGCGTACAAGACCTGCAACGTCAACAAGCAGTACTACGCTGAGCGCACGCTGGTCGAGGCGTCTGGAGAGGGAGGGAGGCCCGCCAGCCATCGAGAATCGAGGCATCGAGGATCGAGATGTCGAGCTGTCGAGGATCGAGGATCAAGGCATGGATGTCCGAGGACCGAGGCCTCGAGAATCGAGGACCCCGGCTTCAGATCCTGGTGGGCAGCGCCCCCCTGGCCAGGCTGGGCTGGCAGTGTGCGCCGAGGCCTGGGCCCTTGAGAGCGTGCCTGCGGTGGCGCTGGTGGCGCTGGTCAGTTTCTTTGCTGTGCGGCGGCGATGCGGCGCGCGATTCCGAGCTCGGCTCTCTGCCCTCTGCGCCCACCCAACCCTGAGACACCAGGACGTCCATGGCGATCGCAGCATGCCGATCGCTGGCGCTGAGCAACTATCCGGCGGCTGTCGACCCAGCCCGCCGCCGTGCCGAGGTAGCGTGCTTAAACTCCCTCTGGCCTGCGAGCCGCAGCCCCTGACCCAGACCGAAAGGGAACGAACAAAAACCGCAGCTGGCCGCGCCTGGCCGCCTCCGCGGGCGGGCGAACGCAAGGCGGGCTATGTGGTGCGATCCTCCGACCCCGTCTGCTCCAGGCGGGGGGGGGGGAAGGAGGGGGGGGTACGTACGACAGCTGCTGCGTGCACCCGGTTTCGGATCCGCCGCTGGGCACCTCCCTCGACGCGTAGAGGCGCCTCCAGCGCCGGGGAGGCCAGCTAAATACGCAGGCTGATTCGCCAAGCCCCCCTGTGGAACCCGCGAACCCCTTTCGTCCCCGATCCCTCCCCCTCCCGCGCACCCTCCCGCGCAGGCGGGAGCGTGCGCGCGCGCCGGAGGAGGCAGGGGAGGGTGGAAATGGGGATGGGGTGCTCAGCAGCAGCAGCAGGAGGAGGCGGAGGAGGAGGAGGAGGAGATAAGAAAGTAGTAATAGGGGGAAGAGGAGGAGGAGGAGGAGGAGGAGGAGGAGGAGGAGGAGGAGGAG